TTCCTCAAGATAATAATCATTGATAATGATTCAAATGTTTAATAATAGCATCATTAAAATTCAGACTAAAAGAATTTTATCTAGAAGATTAGATAAAAGCACTTTTTCTAGGAACGTAATTCAGATGAAAGCAAATTTCATATTTGATTATGATTCATGTACGAGCAATTTTCGGATTATGATCATGATTTAGATGAGAGCAATTTTTTTCTTTACATGACGATTCACATAACAGCAATTTATGCGTGAATACGAGGGTTTATCAAAGCGATAATATGTTACTTGTAATATGTGCAGCAATTTGTTCTTGGCACGATGCCAAGATTGCTTCCAGTTTATAAAAACATGCTTAAAGACGCAATGATGTTTGGGGATCAACACAAACAACAACGCTTTCATTCTAACAAGGGGCTTATACTACATAGTGCAGGGTTGAACTTGGGGTGGAGAAATGAATAAATAAGTAGAAATAATCCCTTTTCCCCATCTCCTCCCACTCAATCCTCATCATCTTATATCTGAGTGATGGTTGAATGTGCTTGTAATCAATCCCCTGGGTCCTTAAAAATCACCTCTAAACTTTGAGTTGGATGGTAGAGCGGTTAAGGCAGGAGCGCTGCAACCTTCAGCCACAGTATCTGTGCTGGATCGAACGGAACGCTCGCCTATGGTTCTGGTGGTGAAACCACCTTCTAGGATAAGGCCAGTGTACATAAATCTGGTGTGCACTATAAAGAACCCAGTACATCTTTCGAGATGAGTAGGGGGTTAACCTGGTGTACTGGTTCATACAGCCCGTGTTGTAGACAGACCAGAGATAGCTGGTACCGGTTTACCAGGTAGCTCAGACACAAAGAGACCCTTAGGGGAGAAGAAAGTTACTGTATGAACTAGTCCACACCTCGAGCACTTTGAGATTTCTTTATAAAGCGCTATATATATCCAACCACGAGATCACTTCACATTACATTACGTTAAAACAACTCTATACTGAGACTCATCGAAGTTTAGTAGTGCCTATAGCATTACCAGTGAAAATTTCCTTACGATCGTATATATTCTGATCGTTAGTAAATATTCAGACTGGAATGAAATAAAAAAACAAAACATACCGGTAAAATGCTCATTTTAAAAAAAAGAATGATTTATTAGAATATAGTCTACTAATTGCATTGTTCATTCTGTGAAATGTCAAAACTGACAGCGATATTGAAGATTCACCTTTCATTGAAAATGAAAAAGAATGAATTTTTTTAAATACGGACATAAAAAGCAGTCGTATAAAACGAACATTACAACCGGTAAATCACATAGGCGACATTCGCAGAGTCAGATCTGATTTATTGGTGGGAAAGTCAAAATACAGCCATATAAAGATATACATAACGATTTGAGTAGGTCAGACCAATCTGTTATTTTAAAGAACAATAAAGTAGCAAATGGGAGACAGAAGACACTAACTCCATAAACTGGCATCATATCCAATGTTCATTTACTGCTGTAAGAGCTAAAATAAAAAGAGATATAGCAATCATGGAATGGTAATTAGACTGTAATTGACTTGTAAAATGTACATTTTATTTCTAAATTTATGCTTACCAATCAAGGAAGAGTATTTATTCTATGATCACGCTTTTTAAAGTGCATTTAAACTATTTTTATAAAGAAAGCAAAATAACAGATTTTTGGAGTCTGGGTTCACATTTAATTAATCAAGACAAAAAAGGCTAATGTTACCACTGCCAAATTTTACCGCTGTTCGTACATTGATTTACATAAGTACTCAGTTGGTTTTAAGATAGTAAGATTTTTACCCATACATAAGGTAGTTATTCTAATCACAGACAAATTCTGTGAACAAGTTTCAGCAATACACATGGTATTAACATAATTATGCTCAGTAAGATATAACCAAGCCACACTGTTCCCATTGGGTTTGCATGAGTTGCAAACAAGGTCATATGTTCCGAGGGGGAGGAGGTGGGACCTGTGGTACAAGGGAAAAAGTTAGAGAGGCATTCCCCTACCTATTGTGGGGGTTGCAGTGGGTTTCTAGCCACAATTTTAATTCCTTTGCTAAATAATTTCACATTTGGTTAGATAATATTTTAATCTTGCATGGGACACACTAAAACTATTCTCGTCCCCAACCCCCCACTTCCCTGGATCCGGTACTGTACCTGGTAGAATAAGATTGATTGATTTAAATAGTCTGGTATTAAATTAATTAGTCAAAGGTCTAGAAATACTTTCCCACAAACCGGAGGAGGTGGCACACAATTCATGGCAGTTCCATAATTGGTGTTTATAATTATTTGCACTTTAGTAGTTCACCAGCTAGATTGTGCATTAAAAATGCTTGGTTATTAACTATAAATTGAATTATTAATAATAAATTAGTGACATTATGACCTTGACCCCTCTTCAAATCTCCTCCGCCTCAATTTAATACTCCTATCGGTGGTTCTGTAGTTTGGTGTAGTTCCCCCTTTTAATCCTAGTTCCTGGGTTCAAGTCCTACAAATGGCAAAATATTTCTCCACTAAAAACAATGCATCTCCTAAGCCATCAAGAGAAGCATAACTCATTCTATGAAGCGATCAAACTTTGGGGTGAAAAGGTGAAAGATCAATTGCAAGGTCACAGACAATGAAAAATCACATTAATAAAGTGTTAGCAGAGGAATACGCTATCCGGTATCTACAGTATACGAGTTGAAAAAGTGTACTAAACATGATTAATAATCTTACAAATATGGGAAATATGGAATAGGCCCAGGAAGGAAAACAATAAGACTAAATACGTCTGAAATATGGTTTCGCAGATGAATATTCCAATAATAATTTATGATTTAATATTTTCAGAGATACAACTTTTACAGTAGTTATTTCCTTTGGAGAACTGCAACCCTCTCTTAAATTCCGGTCCAAAAATAATATTATAATAATGATTTTTATATTTGAAATACCTGGTAAAAACATCCCAAGTAGGCCAACAAAAATCTATTCCGTTTCTATTTTGAATAGGAAGTAATAAAAATCCAATAATACCACAAAAAAATTAATGCATTTAACAGTTGTAACGATCGAGATTACAAAAAACCTCAGAGAATATACTTAGAGACTGCAGTGTAAACATTTGTAATGGAAATTCATCGTTCATTTGTTAAAACGTAATGATGAGGAGGCTGATGGATGACAAAGAGTAATTATCTATGTAGTCTATTTATAGTGCACAAGGAGCTTTACTATCTGCATGTAGTATAATCACTAGAAATCGCTTGCAAATCACATGCTAAAATCCACGATATCACATGTCCATGTTACTGATAAGCTGTTGGATTTTTAGAATTATTGAGGCAGAATGGATCGATATAAAATGTGAATAGAAAATGATCATGTTACAATGCATACTAGAATTGGTTGGCGACTTGTATTACAGAGATGGGATGATATGTAGGCAGTGGCATATCCAGGAGCCTTGAAATGTGAAAGGGGAGGGGGGACGGACTGATGGGGTGCAAAGGTGAAGTGGGGACTCGATGATTAGGTATGGGGCGTTAGCTTGCAAAGCAGGGTGATTTGAGGTGATTTTTAACTACCGTTATTATTTTTAGGAGGGGTGAATGCAGTGGGAATTTTTTGGAGGGAGGGGCATATGCTCCCGTGCATCCCTACATATGCCATTGTGTGTGGGTGGTGTTGGTAAAGTGATATGAGGATGATGGTACATATTTCTTTTATATTCTCTGTTGTACTGAGGATAGATTCCCAGGATATTCATTTAATAACAAAAATTAGAATATAAATTTAAAATAGGCTTATAATTTTAAATATTTTATAATCAGTACATATTCTAGTTGTACAAAGTTGTCTAATAATATAGGTAGAATATAACAGAGTAGAATTTATTGCCTTTATTTAATTAAATATAAGAAATGTATTGTATACATGGTTCTCGCCAAATGAATATAGATATCAAAATGCAAACTTTTTAAATGAATTACATTTTATTTGAAAATTAAATGAAAAAATTTTCCTAGCAAATAAAGAAAAACACTAACACTATACCTTTTGCAAAAGTCCTTGGGCCTTAAAATGACATGATTCTATGTAGAACGCAACGTCACAACGCGCGCGCAATGGATCATGTTTTATTGATGATCCAGACTGTCACCGACAATCAGCAGAGGGCGCCACTTCATCCAATGCTCACAGGGAACGGAGTCGGATTAATCGTACAACGGTCATACAAGCGGCAGTGTGCGCCAGGCTTGAGGTATTAACTCAACATTCAATGTTTTTCTTAAAATAACACAATTTTTTACTCAACTAAAGTGTTTTCATATTTCTAAATTTGAAATCAACTTTCTCTATTTAACATGTCTTAATATATATCAGATAATTTGAAATTGTTTTCATGCAAGTGTCAAATTTATAATGTTATCACAGTACCGCGATACCCTATCACTGAGTGCATTAAAATTAAAATAACAAACCTGCACTGGATTGATTATATAGTGTTATCCAATAAGGGTTAATGGATATTGTTTCAACCATAGCACTGCAACATTCACTCTTGGATTTTTTCTCAGTATATGATATGTAAATAAAATATGATTGAAATACAACCTTCCTTGCAAACATAGTAATAGTAAAACATTAGGAATTACATAGTGAAAATGCAAATGCAGAAAAATATCACTGTATATTTAATATTAAATAATCTTATACGGGATGTTAACTTCTATGACCTTCGCTTTCACTATTCAATAAGCAGAGAATTGCCAACAGGCGTCTGCACAGAGATACAGAACGAAGGGGTCGGTTGCCTTTGATCTCACTTTATGTAATGGCTTTTACAACTGCCCTGCACAATCTTTTCAGAAGGTGATGTATTTAGGAAAATCAAAGTGGTTTACAGGTTTCATTTCTATTCCATAAAAAATCAGAACTGAATTGATATGAATGGGCAGCTAAAGTTAAGTGAATTGTACTAACCTTGGAGACGCTCCCTCCAGGGACCAGCAATGCTCACATGTCAATCATTAGTCAGTGCTCCTGAAAAAAAAAAAATTAAGTTAATCGATTTTTCATTTATTTTTCATTTGAACCATAAAGAGGATTAACCTTCCAGTTAACCCAAAAATAAATTAAAAAATTTGTTGCTCTATAAACTTCTTTGATAGAAATGCAATGTGAAGATTTAATAAGTGCTGTAATGAGTACTGTTTCTAGGATAAACCATGGACCTATAATAAGTCCATGGATAAACATTGAAAAGGGCTATAACTTGTCTGAATGGAGACACTATTTGAAGAAATCTGCAGTAATGAGTCGTGGTTAATAGGGACTTGGCATATTTGACAAGTTCTTTAAGCTCCTCTGGACTAACTGTATTATAAAGAGAAAAATGGTTATATAGGAATGTGATCGAAGGAACAGACATGCAATGGACTTTACTATGTGCCTCCATAATTGAACACACTGTCAGAGGAGATAATTAAGAAAGGTCATATAAAAGCAGAATGGAATTAAAAAAAGAGGAAGAGGACAGACATATATTGATGTACGACCAGAAGGGAACAAGAAATTATGAAAATCGATAAACGAAAAAAAAAGCTTTGAACCTTAGATTTTAAGCAGATGTCCAAATCAAAGATTTTTTCTCTGGACTAAATATACCTCCATTCTCTAAGCCCGTATAAATTTATATTTTAGTCTATTTAATTCAAAATGCGATTTATATTATACATATGTAAGACGTTAAAAGTAGTAAGTGGTAAAAAAAAAAAATACTGTACATTAAATCTGGCTAATGGAAGCTATTATTATCGAAATTTAGCATCTTCTAGCTTGGACCATTGTTATGAAACTCTCCACTTCCTGTGTTGGTTTCTGTTAACAACTGGCCCATTTCCGTTCACTGATTATAACGGAACATGGTAGTTTCCCACTAAACAGCTATTCATAAAAATTCAGGACCTTGGAGGCTTCTGCTAAGCCTATCTGTTAGGAGATCTTGTAATGTAGAATTACAAGTATTCTAATTATAACATTAAGGAGGCTCTTATCATGATGTTATATTTTTAGAAGACAAGAGAAAAGAATAAAACAGATAGGAAAAGAAAAGAACGGAAGAGAAATGAAAACAGAAAAGGAGAAGTAGAGAATAGAAAGAAATGAAAAGAAAAGCAAGCAAAAGAAAATAATAGAAAGGAACCGAAAGGGATGGAAAAGAAAGAGATTGATTGATTGATTGATTGATAACACATTTATTTCCGACTAAAGTAATACAGAATGAACAACTTTTTTTTTAAATATCTTGGTGGGGCTGAGTTAGTATACCCTTCATCTGTCAAAGTCTCTCTCTGGGCCCCCTCTATTCCATTTTCCTGGATCCGCCACTGATTACAGTCGAGTAATAGATGGGAGGGGGATGTGGGAGCTAGTGTGGATGAGAAGAGAAATAACTTATTTTTATTATTAATGGTATGAAGATATAAACATCAAATTACAAAATATCTGGCCCCTATGAGCATGAAATTAATAAAATATATTTCTTCTACACAAGCAAATGGGGTCATTGTTTTGCATGTATTGTAACAATTTTTATTTGTCATTAATTCATTTTTCACTATAGTATTCTTGTAGGTTAAGATTCGTTGTATAGGTATACAGGGAGTTGTTATAGTGTTATAGAACCGGGACAGATAAATCACTTACTTTTCTTCAATGGCTAGGTAGACTCAGTGTGGAAAACAGCCGTACTGTACCTAGTCCGATTGGCAATTCAGGCCCGTGCAGGTGGAAGAGTATCCCACCTTGGCTCCCTGTTTGGCCTAACACAACCAGAAGGAATTTGTATTCTTTTTCTTCTGATTCTTTCGTGATACTGCAGATATATCTTTCAAGATAATCAATTTAAAGACAACGTAAACAACCTTGACATAGGACTACTCACATTTTGATAACGAGTCCATGATCTTGTCAGTCAGGCGATACTTTCTGACCAGGTGTGTCAATTCGTACGCGCGGTGACTGAAAACTGATGGAAAAATCATAATTTTGTTGTGGCTCATGCAGTCAAAAAACATTAATTTATAGTGTTTTTTTTTTTTTTATTTTATATTTTGATCTTAATTTTTCTATACAATAATATCCCATTCTGTGAGGTATTTTAGTAGGTGTAAGTGCGGGTGTAAGGGCGCCCCCGCGGCCCCCCCCCCAACTGTTTCCCAAAAAAATCAAAATCACAGCCAAGTATACCCTTCACTTTCGCGCCCCCACCCCCACTTCAAGACTTCTAGATACGCCGCCGGGACACCCACAGTAGATGCGGCGCCAGTGGGGTGTGGGGGAAGCAGTGGGGGAGCTGGAAGGTGGAGGGGAGGGGGAAGGGGATGGCGGGAGGCTGGGGCTCTGTTGAGAAAAGTCTTGGGAAGAAATGGCTGCAATCCAATAGAATGGCATTCCAACTTTGTATACTGTGCCGTCCAACACACTACTCATTGTAAACAAACCATGGTGGTTTGTAAAGACAAACCATGCTGGGTTTGTAAAAGACAAACCCTGGTTTGTAAAAAAACCATGGTGTATCGGGGGGTGGAGGGTGCACGCTCATCCAAAAAATACTAGCGCCTGCTAAAAGTCACAGTCAAGTTGTTAAAAAGCACCTAAAATCACCTTGTTTTACGAGTAGCCCCCTCGACTGATCATCGAGTCCCGTTCACCTTCACGCCCCTCCCCCACCCATCACATCAACACCTCCCTTCAAGACTCTAGATACGACACCGAAACCATGATTTGTAAAAGACAATCTTCAATAAAAAGACAAATCATGCTTTGTAAATGAAAAATCATGTTTTGTAAAAGACAAGCCATGGTTTGTAAGACATTGCAATGGTCGAGTTATACATCACATATTTTATTAGAAAGATGTATCCAAACCAATTTTTCATATTCTAATAAATTGAGTTAAGTGGTGTTTATCAACTAATAAGATAATTAAAGCATCAGCAGATAATGATTAACTGATTGTGTGTTTCCGTATCTTGTTCATTTTGTGGGGCGGAGAGAGCATAATGTTGAATCACCACTCAATCCATTAGGCCTACTTAACTTGTATAGTTTATTTTTCAAATTTTTTGTTGGTTTTCTTTTTTATTCATTTTGGTGAAGTGCTTTCTGATGATCAAGTGTTAAGCATCATAGAACACCATTACCACTAGCTTGCATAGAAACCATGCTCTTTGTGGTTTTAAACATTTTATATGCATGTTTGTTTACTTTGTATATACATGTGATTCACTGTTTCTGAACACCAGGAGCATTGTATTCCACATTGTGGTTGTTTTATTAGCATACAATAGTATATTTCTATTGTTCCAATTGAGTAGATTAATGTTTGCAGCCAAAGAATATAGATAGGGATGCCACATAAGCCTATAATTTTATTGTGCCTATCCTGCAATCGAATGGGATTTAAGGATGTTAACATTTTAAACAGGCAGTATGAATGGGCTCAGTTAAAATTATGGAAAAAAATGTGGGAATACCATATTCATCATGTTCTTTTTGGTATAATAAATCTAATGTAATGATTGGGTTTTAAATTTTAAGCAACGTCCCATTTCCGAATTTTTGTCATGGTTCTTTTGGTGTTTTGTAATGTTACAATGATATTTAAATGTTGATTTTGCAGTATTTTTAAGTGTTTAATGTTTTTTTGCCAGTGGAAAAAGAATTTCCATTTTACTTGTGTTTAATGGAAAAATAATGTTTGATTTGATTTGATAAGCAACTAAATGTCCAAATGAAAAAAAATTTAATTAGTTTCTTGCCTTCTATATACTGCTGCCTTAATTTTCTTTTTATTTATATAAATATATGTACTTTATTTTCTTTCAAGCATTGCTTTCCTTAGTTGCTGGTATTAATAGTAGTGGTAATATTCATATTTTCAAAATATTGCCTGTTTTATGGAAATTTGGTGTTACCAGCGTAATGACTTGATATGAAATTACCCAAAAAAATGTTTTTTCAAACAATTTCGAACGAGAATTCATTTTTTTCTTGGCATAATAGTTGTGTTTGAAGAAAAGGCAAATAAATATTACCTATTATTATTATTATTATTATTATTATTATTATTATTATTATTATTATTATTATTATTATTATCATTATTATTATTATTATTATTATTAAATGTTATGCTAATATTAACTAGTTGTGCTCTCACAGGTGTGCCATAAATAATAATAATAATAATAATAATAATAATAATAATAATAATAATAAGTTGCAAACAATTTGGCCAATTTTTTTTTTTGACAATTATAACAATAATAACTTGACGAAGTCATGTTGATAACATCGAAGAAAGCATGCATTAAGTTTACATCAAATCGTGCTTGGCTTATTATCAATGAAGCAGTTGTACAATAATAATAATAATAATAATAATAATAATAATAAATTGTAATCAATCAGTTAATATTATTATCAATGAAGCAGTTGAATAATAATAATAATAATAATAATACTGCAACAGTAATGATAATTTTAATGATAATGATAGTGATAATAATAAATTGTAATCAATCGGTTAATATTATTAATTTAATTAGCCAGTACAGTATTATGTTGACCTGATTATTATTCACTGCACTCTCCCTTTCTGAGAGAACCGAGGCTATACCATTTCCTTGGTTCAATGATTTCCATTCATAACTTTTTAAAATTTATATTCGCTTAAGGAAATATGTATGACTCAGCTAGTAGAGACAAAGCCTTGCCACACGCTTTTCAAGCTCCAGTGCTGTATATACAATGTAAACAATAAACCTGTGTATGGTAATTCTGTTGCAGGTTTATAGGTCCATGATTTAACAATAGCAGATTTCCTTTTAATATTACACTCAATCTAAATTTGATGATGATGTCTAAATGTTTTTTTTTTCTCAACTTAAAGTTATAATATTTCATATTTAATAATTGAACTTTGGGTAAAATGAGTAATTTAGACTTATAAAATTATATATAATTTTTAAGATATTTAGTTTGTGCTTTTTTTTATTTCAATATTGTATATACTATCTTCTTAAGCCCATCTATAAAGATCAGAATTTTGTTGTCCCCTAATATAAAACAATGCTTTATTCTATTAAAAATTAATACATTAAGTCTTTCAAATTGTATTGTCTTTGTTATCATTATCATAATTATTATTATATTATATTTTATACCACTATCATTTATTATTATTATTATTATTATTATTATTATTATTATTATTATTATTATTATTAATTTTTATTATTATTATTATTAATTTCCATTATTATCATTAATAAAACGTTGTTGTTTTACTTTATAAATTACAGAATTAAGTTTCAGATAAGAACCTATGTATAAATAAGATTAATTTTGCTTAAACATAGAATAATAAATTTAGGCTGCAAGCTTGTTTTATAATAATGTAATTAAAATCCACTACACGATATTAAAAATATATATCTTATTAGATAAGTACAATGATGAACAGATAGGCTTTCAGTAGTAACTGTAAAAAAATGAGACTCATTAACATAATGTGGCTGTACGGCAAACGGGCATAACTATACTCTACTGTAGCATATCTTTATATTGAACATAGCTATCATGTGACCTTTCATGGTATATTCCAATTACCTGTAGTAATAATCCGTGTCATAAATTATGATACCTCAACTCGGACTGCTGTTATGTGATCGTGATTAAATACAGAATTCGTTTCTATAAAAAGATTGGATATCTTGTAGCAGATGTATTCCCTATTTG